TCTACTCAATTTTTTTGGTGTAGTATTTCTTTTTTTACCTGAAAATCTAAGTTCTTAACAACATCAAAAGTAGTTCTCACTACTTTTTTGCTTTATCATTAAATATATAAGTAATAGTTTCAGAATAAAAATTCCAATATTATTTTCAATGACACGATTACTAAATACTGTTTCAGATTCTTTGAGTGCCTCCCTGCCAAATGTACTTGATGGTAGCTGTTTCCTGCAAGTTCTGAATGAATAACCCATTTGTTTTCATTTAGATGATCTTGGTTTACTTCCATATCTCCAACAGGGAATCTGGAGACAAACTGAACATGTGCATGAAACCAAAACCCAAATCAGGAGGTAGAGCCACCACCACCCATGTCCCTTCCAGTTCTATTGTCACTGGGTTGTGCCACCACATCATTGGTTAATCTTTAAACTTGTACTTTCTTGTATTCCCTCCAACACATCCTCTGACAAAAGCAGGCTGAACTTGTCAAGGAAAGGTGGAAATTCCAGGTATAGCTAAGCCTGCCAGCAGGAAATCAGATAAAGAACACAGGGACCACAACCAAGAAACCAGTTCATGCCAGAAAAATCCAAAATAGCAGCTGAAACCCCCTTCCAAGTGACCTTTGATGAACTTTTTAAATTAGCATACTGAAAATACCACTCGGGGGTGCAGATTTAACATTAAAATGATACACGCGATGGCTAGGCATGATCCAAGCATGTTTGAGGACTAGCCATGCTCCCTTGGAATCTCAGGATCTTCCATCCTTCCTCAAAAATCCCCATTCTTGAACCTGCCTACTTCCCCCAAGACCCTTTAATGCTTTCCTAACACCCCAGAATCGGGAAGGAGGAATCATTAGAGCATTCAATTCTCCTTCTCCATTTCTTGGCCAAGGAATAGTTTCTGACTTGCTTTACCGAATACTGTCTTGTCCATTTACATGAGCAACACTGGACAGAACAACCACAATTTGGGGTCCCTGACCTGCAAGGTTGGTGACACTATCGCTCCCAAATGTAGCCATTCTGACTTCCAATGCCATGGACCAGTTTTGCTTATTTCTGTACTTCTTATATGAATGGAATCAGACAGTGAGCATATTTTTGTGTTTACTGACGTCTTTTGCTCAACATCCTGTCTGTGAGATGTGTCCATATGGTTATGTGCGGCAGTGTTCATTCATGCTCATGGCTGTACACCAACCAGCACCAGCATTCCACTGTACAACTTTACTGCAACGTACACATCCGTGCTACTGGGAATAGATATGAGTTGATGCCAGTTTGAAGGCATCACAAACAGTGCTGTTAGAAACATTCTTGCACATATCTTGGTAGACATAAACTCTTGTTGCTGTTGCATGTACATACCCAAGGGTGGAACTGCTGGGTCATAGGTTATGCATGTGTTTAGCTTTAGTAGGTACTGCCAGTTTTGCAAAAGGCTACATACCAACTTACATGTCCGCAAAAGTTCATGAGCAGTCCAGTTGCTGTATATTTTCACCAACAGTTGATCTTGTCAGAGACTTTTTTTTTAATTAATTAATTTATTTTTAGAGAGGGAAGGGAGGGAGAAAGAGATAGAGAGAGAAACATCAATGTGCAGTTGCTGGGGGCTGTGGTCTACAACCCAGGCATGTGCCCTGACTGGGAATCGAACGTGCTACACTTTGGTTCACAGCCCGAGCTCAATCCACTGAGCTACACCAGCCAGGAGACTTTTTAAATTTTATATTTTTATTTACTTATTTGAGAAAGAGAGAGAGAAACATTGATTTGTTGTTCCACCCACCCACGCATTCACTGGTCAATTCCCATGTGTGCCCTGACCAAGGATCAAATTGGCAACCTTGAGCATCAGGAGGACGCTCCAACCAACTACCCAGCCAGGGCCTGTCAGACACTTTCATTTTAGCCTTTCTGGTAGGTGTCTTTGTAAATTTATACTTAATATTTTTCTTATTCCCTATCAGCCCTAAGTATTACTGTTTTCCAGGATTTCAGTATTACAATGATCAATGGTATATAGCTGATCAGAAACAATGCTTGTCTCCCCCTCCATCCCTACCCATGCATGCTTCAGAACACTCCTTTAGACCCCATGCATGCTTCAGAACACTCCTTTAGACCGCTCATTATTGTATTGGAAACAATGGGTAGTGGAAGGGGACTCTTAGGGTGGGTCTTTGCTGCATTATTCTGTGTCTCCAAAGCCTTCCCTAGTACTCTGCACGCAGTAGGTACAAAATAAATATTGTATAAATACATGAGCAGATGACATGAGAGCTTATTTGTCTCCACACTTGGTGAGCCATCCCCAAGCAAGGCAGGGTATGCAAGTGCATGTCTTCCTCATTTCAGTTCTTAGACCCAGTACAGGGAAATCCTTTAATAAACAATGTCTGCTGAACCAAACTGGCTTCTAGAGAACTGGCTTGTCAGGCTTGTGCCCCTGCCTGCCTCACACAGCCTCAGGCCACTGAGCCTGGACACACTCGACGATTACAGTCATGTTGTACAACATCCCTAAGACTATATTCATTATTTATTGCATGTTATTACACTGTTATAGCAGGCAACCAATCTTGGCACACTGGACAGAGATGTGTCAGTGTGAAATCTCACTTTTTTAAACTAAGATTTTATTTATTTTCAGAGAGAGAGGAAGGGAGGGAGAAAAAGAGGTACAGAAACATCAATGTGAGAGAAAAGCATCAGTTGATAGCTTCCTGAGTGTGCCCCAACTGGGACTGAACCCGCAACCAAGTCATGTTCAGGGGACCTGGCCAGGAACCAGTGACCCTTTGCTTTGTGGGATGATACCCAACCAACTGAGCCACACTGGTAAGGGCTGAAATCTCACTTTAAATGGGGTCCTGGGCTCCAGACACCCAATCTGCAATGGGTCATGGGCATAGAGAACATACAGCTCTGGGGCTTAGAGTCCAGAGTTTTCCCGTGCATTGCCCCCTCTGACCCTCCCTCCCTCCCAGTCTTGCAGAGTAGCTGTAAATTGGGTCATAATGGTACCCCCTTCATAGGACATGGTGAGGGTTAAAGGAGTTAATGCATGTAAAGTGCTCAACCCAGTACCTGGCGCACACAGCAAAGTATAGGGTAAATGGTAGTTTATATTCTATTTTCGTGTGTTGAAAGTTTTCCATAACAAAAAAAGTTTCTTAAAAGAAGCTATGAATAATACAAGGCCTGTAAAGTAAAAGGTAATTTCCTGATCTTTGACTAGGAATTCTCCCTAAATGCAAATAAACCTGAACACATCCAGAAGGGAAGTAGGGTGAGGGTGTGGCATTGGTCTGGATTTAGTGATGCACAGGTGTTTTCCAGGGAGAGAGCAGCAGTGACAGCTCTTGAGCTTTGAGATAAACGTCGTTTCAGCAGAAGGTGGATAGGCACTTATATGAAGGTACTTGGCTGTTGGTGAGTCTGCCCCAAGCATGTAGCTTAGCATTGGGTCTCTGGCCCCAGCCCAACCTTTAGTGCAAGGTAAAGTGTGCTTTCCCAAGTCTCTGAGTATAGGTGCTTCGAATGCCCACTGGGGGTGGAGGGTCTCCCTCCTTTCCTTGGGTTCTGGCCTCCATCATCCAGGACACAGCTGTGACATCGGCACATCTGATCAACTGCCCCAAGCCCTCTTCTGACCACTGGCCAACTCCCCACCTGGCTTGAAGTTGGCATTTTAGAGGCCCTCAGGTTAACAACAGCCAATATAGGGATGCTGTTCAGTGCAGGCCAAGGCAGGGCTTCTGGGCAGCTTAATCTGAAAAGTGCCTGAGTGCCCCCACACTGTCAGGGAGACACACATCACCTTGGGCTAAAGGCTGGGCTGGGGCCAGAGGCCCAATGCCATCTGACACTCTGGTCATTGTGCTTGAAATTCCACCATTTAAACAGCATTCTTTGGGGTTACACATTACTTTCTTGAGAAACTTTTTTCCAAAGATACCCTGGGAGGGGAATGCATTAAAACTGGTACCTGGGCGCCCTGGCTGGTGGCACAGTTGGTTAGAGCATCATCCTGTGCTCCAAAAGGTTGTAGGTTAGGTTTCCAGTCAGGGCACATACCTGGGTTGTGGGTTCACTCCCCAGTCGGGGCACATGAGGGAGGCAACTGATCAATATTTCCCTCATACAGATGTTCTTCTCTCCCTCTTACTCTCTAACAGCAATGAGAAAAAACACTGTCCTCAGGTGAAGATTAATTAAAAAAACAAAAACAAAAAAGCCAGTGCCTGTACATGAATTGTTTACTGACTGACCAGGGTACCTGGGAGGGCAGGGGAAGCATAGAGGATAGGTTAAAAGTAAGGGTGACAGGGAGTTGCACAGGCAGCTTGGGTAGGGACCCCTCCTAGTTTCAGTGCACAAATCACTGGGCTTGGAGTGAGGGCAGAAGAGAAGTTCAGAGGTAGAGGTAGAGGTCATTAAAGGTAGAGGTTGCTGGAGTCCCCTGGGGCAGTGCAAAGGACCGCAGCAGCCAAACGCAGTGCAAAACAGGTTGACAGCTTGGGGTGGGCCACAGTGACGCCCCCTAGCTCTCCAGCGTTCTAGTCCCTGTCCCTTGCAGAGCCCCGAAATGGAATCAGCTCCCGAGGCTCCTTGCCTGCCCCATGTCCTGTGACAGCCGCCTGAAAAGAACCCGCAAGGATACCTAATCCACCTGGCTGCTGGAGGGCATCTCAGCCCTCACCCCGCACGGCTGCCTCAGTGGCTGTGCCTTTCTCCCCAATCCCTAACAGTCCTCCAGCACACAGGATCAAGTACGGGGCAAATATAAAGGTGGTGAGGGGCAGCAGTGGGGTCTGAGTCTGCCTCTAAAGGTGCAGCCAAGTGCTCCGGCCCCTCCAACGTGAACAGTGATAGTAGCACATTTCCCACCCTCAGTGAGTGCCGGGAGCCATTCTAAGATTTATATAAACTCATTTAATCCTCACAACAACACTAAGAGAAATATATATATATATATTAGCCCAGTGTATATATGTATACTTATTTATTTACTTATTATTTTTTACTATGCATCCCCCTTTCGCAGCTAAGAAAACATGCACAGAGGTTAACACCTTGCCCAAGAGCATGGTGATGAGAGGCAGAGAGGGACTCGGCCCAGGCTACCCTACGCTGCAGTTGCACCCTTACCAACTGGCACTCTGCCTCTCCTGCCATCGTCTCTACTAGGGTGGGCAGGGGAGAGGTGGGAGAAGCATTTAGTGGCCACCTGCTCTGGGCCAGGCAGGCACTTGACACACACGTGTACACTTCCATCTCATTAGAACCCAGGGAAGGGTGAGCCACGATACAGTCCATGTGGGGAGGCAAGACCAGAGACGTCAGATCATGTGCCCAGGCCATACAGCCCAGGAAGGAGTGAAGCTGAAGTCCAAACTTTTGACCTGAGCTCTGCCCAGAAGGTCCCCTCCCCTAGCCAAAGGGCCCCTCCCCACTCTGCATGGGGATGGGGACCAGGAGGAAGGGAAAGAGGAAAAAGGGGGTGAGGAAACTGAAAAGGGGCTTCAGAGGGTATCCTCAGGCCTAGCAGCTGTCTCAGGCTTCCCAGGGGTCCACAGGAACCTCCAGACCTTTTCCCCACCCTTGCCTGGCATGAGTGGAGGACAGAAGCTCTAGTGTTCTCTAGGGTGCTCTCAAGGGCAAAGGCCTCAGGCTGGGCTGCTGGGGGCTGGGAGTGAGGTCTTGTGGATCCCTCTTCCCGGATATCTGCTGTCAGCGGCCAGGGACCAGGGCAGGACTGGGGTGGGGGTGGGGCTGGGACTGGGTGTTGCCAATCCCCCCCTTCGCCCCCCCCCTTCAGCGACACCTCCTGAATAAGGCCTGGATGGAGGCACCTCCTCCAGAGGACAAGGGCAACAACCCTGATTGCCAGGTGGCAGGTCTGGAGAAATGGGGCAGCCCTGGGCCCAGAAAGCTGAGGATGGTAAGGGAGCTGCAGGGTGCACCAGCTGTGACAGAAATGTTGCCTCCCAGGACTCAGTTGGCAATGACCCAGCCTCCACACACAGCTGCAGGCCTGGGTCCCCTCTGATCCAGCCTCTGCCAGTCCCAAGAAAGGGACAAGGCGGATGGGACCAGCTCTAGTGACTCAGGCCAAATGTACTGAAGGGAAGGGAGCAGATACACGGCAGGGAGGGCAGAGGGGCCTCACTGGAGCAGGCGCCGCCGGTACAGCACAGCCAGCAGTGTGGCCAGGAGTGCCCCAGCAGCAGCTGCCCCGAGCCATGGAGCCCATGGATCCCATGGTGTTCCAGCAGTCTGGGTCTCCTGCTCCTCTGCCCTGTGCAGGGGGACAGCATGCAGCCCAGGGTTGCCCGCCATGAGGTCAACACTGGGACCTTCAGCCACGTGGATGCTCAAGCCATTCACCGAACTGTACTCGTTCTCCTCTGGGGCATTGTTAGATTTTGGGCCCGAGGAGTCGCAGCTAATGGCAAGGTCCTCCGAGCAGCCGGAGAACGGCTGGCTGTCCTGGGAAGACAGCCTGCCCGGTTTGCTCAGCTCTGGCCCTGAGTCCCAGCTGTCAGAGCTTCTGTCTGCACTCGATGAGCTGCCTCCAGCAGGGGCACCTGTGGGCACTGGAGACACTGGTGTCTCCTGGTTAAAAAAAAAGAGAGAGAAAGGATAGAAGGGACTGGCGGTGACAGGGGGACAAGCCAGGTTGTGCAGCCCCATTCCTAGACCAGGGCATGAACTAGCATCCCAACCTGACAATTCCCAGCCCATAGTGCCTAGGAGGCCACCGTCTCTGGGGGAGCCAACCCACCAACAGGGCAGGAAGGCAGGCAATGCGAGGGGGACCCAGGCACTGCAACAGCGTTAATAGTGACCCCCAGGGCAGCTTGGTCCCTACTCACTGGCCTTCCTGTGAATTCAGCCCCAACCCTGGGAGCTATTGGTGGTTTGTGGCCTCATCTTGCATCAATGTTCTGCCTGGGCTTGAGGGACACGGAGTAGCCAGCCACAGGGTCAAAGGCCTGGCCATGCACCCAAGAGGCTCCGTGGGATTGGTTCCTCTGGGCAGACAGCAGCAGTAGAGTGGTATATGCAAGCTTGGAGAGGGGGGACAGCTGTGAGAGGGCTGCTGGGTCAGAGCAGCTGCCCGGGCTGGATGGGCTGGGACTGCTGTTAGTAAAACCCGGGTCATGGAGCGTCTCGGCTGACAGGTCATCCCGTCCTATCCCTCACTGCTTCCTCTTCTGCAAAATGGAATTACCAAGTTTACCAGAGAGCTGTGAAATCTAAATGGATTAATGTGAGTGACCAGTGAGGGTGGCCCACCATGCCTGACTCTCCTGAGGCATCCACACTTAAGAGCTGGAATGGTTATCATGACTCTAAAGGAGTAGTGTGGGGTCTGGATGAGGCTACTTCTCGGTGGTCCCTGTACTCTTAAAGGAGGCCCTGGACCAGCCCAGAATGGAGACAGGGTGGGGTCCAAGGACAAGGCTAGGGAAGGGGCCTGGATCACTGCTGGGAGGGGTGAGGACTCACCTCTGCGGGTCTGTTGCTGCTCCTGATGGAGGGTGCTTTGTTGGCAGGCACCTTGCTGGGCACCGAACTCGTGGGCATCCTGTGGTCAGGCACCAAGCCAGTAGGCACCTTGGGTGGTGCTGTGCCAGCACGTGTTGTGTTGACAGGCAGTTTGGATGGTGGTAGACTGGTGGGCACATTAGTGGGAGGCTTTGAGAGGGTGGGCAAGTTAGAAGGCACTGTGCTGGTAAACGCTGAGTGGACAGGCACCTTGGAGGGTGCTGTGCTGGTGGTCATAGAGTTGGTGGGCACCCCGACCCCACTGGAGCAGATGGTAGCCTCAGCCTGGCCACCAGCACCCCCTACAGAGGAGGAGGGGGCGGCAGTAGACAGAGCTGACACTGCAGGTCCAGGCAAGCGGCTTGCCCTGGGGGTGGAACGGGCCAGGGGCTGGAAGGAGACAGTTGGAGAGACAGGTCCATGAGGTGATGATGTCAGGCTGGAGACCGTGCCTGCAGGTGGCAAAACTAAAGGAGAAACATAAATCCATAGGAAGGCTGGAATCAGAGGTCTGGAGAAGGGCCCCTCTGCCCCAGCTCACACCATCTCCATGGCATCAAGGCCTCCCAGCCTCCTGCCCATGGAGGAGTCTCCACAGTCCCTTTGGTCACTGCTCCCAGGCCTAAAGGCCCGACAGCTGCGGGCACATTCTTGGTCTTCTCTGACCTCACACCTTGACCTACAGCACTGAGTCTGTTCTCCCACAAGAACAAAATGGTCCGTCTCTCCAACAGCCCCTAGGAGCTTGAATATCATTAATTATCTACTCTGCTTTTTCTTCTCCTGCCTGGGAGACCCTCCCTCTCCTCCTGTGTCTGCCTTTTCCACCTTTCCCTAGCCTGGTGGAATCCTGGGTACTCCTTCCACTGCCACCTCTCCTCCCCGCCCCACCCCCAGCAGGAGCAATCCTGGATCAGGGCAAGGGGCAGCAGGACGGCTCCAGCTCCAGCGGAACAGCTCACACCAGTCATGTGGTCCCAGTGGCCCAAACAACCCCTGGTGCGTGCAACTCTCCTAGGGCTCTGCAGGCACAAAGCTACTCCTGGGAGGAGGGCCTGCCCTGGGGGAAGCAGGAGGGAGCAGGAAGTGATGGTCCGCAAGGCTGTTAAATCAGGATTCCCCGTGGAACTCTGAGAATGCACATGCCAGGCCCTACGGCTGATGAAGGCCAGGAATCCTTCTGATGTTCCCCCCGCCCCAAACATAACACCACAGAATCTCGGGGACCTGTCCACACATGACTGAAATCAAAGTGCACTCTGCCTCTCAGGTACACAGTAGCACGTCCTGAAAGGTATTCCATGGCAAGCTGACACTGCCAGATGTAAACGGGTGCTTGGGGCAGACTTTTGAGGTGACAGAAGTCTAGGCACTAAGATGGCTTTTCTGAGCCTTTAACTACTCACGTGCCTCGTGGCTGCCCCAGTGGCACTGAGGGCTGGCCGGGCACCAGTGTCACATGGAACACAGTTTGGGAAATAGGGGTGCAGAGAGATGCCAGCCTGGGGGTGGAAGGGGAAGGTCAAAGTGGACAGCTTCATGTTCCTGAGGGGAACACTGAGGTCTGGTGTGGGGATCCAGGCCCTTGGCTGATGAAGACTATACTCCCTCTGGGGGCTGAGAAGTTTTAGTGACTTGCTGGGAGCTAGAACCATCTCAGGGCAGGGCCGGGCCTGAGGGGCTCACCTAACAACAGCAGACCCAGCTCTATACTCCCCCTTCTGTACTATCCTCCAGATGCTGGCAGATCACTATAGAGCCCCTTTGGTAGAGAGCAGAAGTGACCCTAATTTTCTTCTCATACCTGTAACCACACCCTCTGCAATGTGACTTTGTCAGTCCTCTCATCAAAGGATGGAGTGTGTCCCTGCTCCTTGACTTTGGGCTGGCCCGTGACTTGCTTTGGCCCACAGGAGGAGGCTGAAGGAACACTGTGCCAGTTTTGAGCCTGTGCCCCAGGTGCCGCCAAACAAGCTTGTTGCTGGAGGATGAGGGACTCATGGAAGAGAACCAAGGAGCCCCGACAACAGCCACAGGCAGAGCTTATGTGTACACTAGTGTGTACACAAGAGGGAATTCAGCCAAGATCTGAACCAGCCCAAACTGCTGACCTACAGAGTCGTGAACTAAATAAACAGGCATACTTTAAGCTATTAAATTTGGGGGATTGTTTGTTATACAGCAAATGCTAACCAATACACCCTCTAAGGAACTGGGTTGCTCCCTGGGGTATACTCCCTTTATTCCCACCCTGGCCTCTTGTCCAAGGAAGCCAGAGGGACACCTCTAACCCTCACCCTCACTTAGAGGTCAGAAAGGCCCTAGAATTCCAGATCCCACACATACCTTCTGTGTGGGTACTGCCCAGTACTGTGTCCTGCTCCTGCAGCCCACTGGAGGGCTGAGGGCTGAGGGCTGCCATGCCAGAGGAAGGCTCCTGGGGGCCACTGGGCTTCCTCAGGACAGTGTCAGGGCTGGGTGTCTGTGGGCCCTTCCCAGAACTCTGCAAGAGGGAAAATAAGAATGAGGCAGTTGCTCTTCCCAGGAGCTGGTAAAGGAAAGTTGATGCTTATGGGGCAGCTTCTACAGACCTCAGCTCACATCACGGGGCACAGGAAACAAGGAAGCTGCTGTCTTGGCTTTGGTCACTGCCAGACCCTCAGTCTACAAGTGACTTTCAACCCACCTCATAGAAAACATACACGCAGCATCCCCCGGGGAGTTCTTATCTGTCTGGCCATGTAGAAAGGTCCCCCTCTGTAAGGCCCTTGCATAGACCCCTTTCTTGGGCTTTATGTCCACGGTTTTGTGTCTCTTGGGCACTCACTGCCCATTCATCATATCCCAATAGAATCAGTCATCTTTTTCTAAAACTTCACTTTACTGGCAATAATTACAGCTCCACCATCCACCCACTACCCCATCACCTTCTGGCCCCTCACTCCCCCTCATCTGGTCAGCCGCTGGCCCCTCAACACCTCACAGGTACCACTGCTAAGACCTCAGCCTTGGACCTCACAGCTGGTTGATGAGAAGACTGGGGCTGCCACAGAGTGAAGCCCCGGTCAGCAGTCTGGGAGCTGGTCTGCGGCAGATCCCCACTAGGGGAGCCCTGGGTTCTGGGTTCTGAGCAGAGATTAGGCACAATTTGTGGGGTGCAGGAGAGGGCTTCTGGAAGGTGGAGTGAGCGGAAGTAGGCAGATGGCAACACCAAAGCACAGGGTAGAAGGCAGATGGTGAGGACGCACCTCTCCCAGGGATGCTGGCGACTGGGTGTCCTGGACAGGTATGGGGTAACTTGACTCCTCGTCTCTGTAGCTGCTGTGGGAGGCACTGGGGGCCACAGCAGGCGCGGAGGGCCCTGGAACCTCAGCAGAAGCTGACAGCAGCTCTAACAGGGCCGGGGGGCATCTTTGGTTCACTGGAGGACAGAGATACAGTGATGTCAGGGAGGAGTCAGGGGTGTTCCCAGAGACGGGAGAGGCCTGGGTGCTCTTGGATCGACCTGTAGGGCCATGGCTGTTGGGACACCCACAGCTCCAGGAGCTGCCCTGCCACAGAATGCACCCCTCAGAGGAGACAAGCTTCATTTAGCGGGAGGCGGACGAGGAGGGAGGCAGGGGGTGGGGAGGACAAGGAGAGAAAGGTGGAGTGAGATGGAAGGGGAGAGTGCAGGGTGCCACACTGGTCTCCCCCGGCCCGGACTGGGTCAGCAGTCGCCGCTTCTCTGTCCCCAGGCGTTCTGGGACCCAGTGCCTTTCTCCTCCTCATGGGTGTCTGTCACCACCAACTGACCCCTGACCTGATGCTGTCTCTTCCTCAGTCCTTCCTCCTTAACTCCCACCACTCAGCCCTTGCCCCACCACAGCCGTTTGTATTTAGGGAATCACTGTGAATCTCCACAAATGAAGACACACGTTTGAAAGGAGAGGAGGGAGGCAGGATGGGAGGTACAGAAAAGCAACAGAAGACAAATGGGGGTATCCTAAGGCTACAAATCTAGGCAGGATTTCAGGAGTGGTCTCTGGTCTGAAATATAAATAAACAGGGCTGGCTTGCGTTTTCTTCCTGTCTCGGTTCCTCAGACCCTGACCTTACAAAACCCCCAGGGGCATTTGGCCTGGCTGGGAGTATCTAGCGGAACTAAGGAGTAACTGGGGTGGGGAACCTTAGAAAACTAAGGGAAACCAGTAGACAGGAAGAGATGAGGGGTAAAGAAACCCACGAGGGAGAAAAAGGAGACTGCAGAGGGAGGGAAAGAGGAGAGAGGAGGGCAGAGGAAGAAAGCAAACTGAGGGAGAGGAGACAGGAGGAAGTGAGAACAGGACCAAGAGGCAAACGTCACAGCCACAAAAATGAGAGGAGGCTCAGCATGCTGAGCACCGGGAGGGGCTGGGCCCCACCAAAGCACTAGAAGAGCTGACCTCCCCTGGCACCCACTGCAGCCCCATGAGGCAGATGTTCCCATTAGCCCTGTTTTACTGAGGAGAAGACCACGGCTCAGGGAAGTCAAGGGACTTGGCCGAAGGGACACATCTACTAAGTAGCTAAGCTGAGATCTAAACCCAGGTTTGCCTACTGCCCAGGAGTGACAGAGGAAGGGAAGAGGTACAGGAGCGAGGGGACAGGGAGAGTAGAGGCTAGGGGAACAGACAGAGGTTCCCAGAGAAAGCTTAGGGCAGGAGGCTTACAAGGCAGGTTGCTCTGGTAGACGTGGGCTACTTCATCAGCGAGACTAGTCAGCTCACAGGCCCTCAGTGCCCGGATGAGGGACACCACCCAGCCATTCCGCCGCTGAAGGCTGTTGAAGAGTTCCCAGATGGTGTTCCGGTTCCCCTTGAGATTGTAGTGGGCCCGCAGTAGATCCTGGAAGACACAGCCCACGGCCTTGCTCAAGCCAGGTGGCCCTGGCCCTTTCCCCACCCCAGAGGGGACAGCGGCAGAGAGGGGAGACCGCCATGTAAAACTGGGTCAGAACTCGGGACAAGGCTAGGGTTTGAGTTCTTATTAAAAGGCAGCTACCAAGAAAGCGGCTGTTCCTGTGTCCTGGGCTCTCCAACTCAGGGCTCTTCGTGAATTATCTTATTTCACGCAAATTCAATTATTCCTACTCTGCTGATGAGGAAACAGACTTTGCAGAAGTAAGGCAGCAAAGACCCCACAGCGGTGGGGCAGGAATCTGCACCCACTGGTCTGATGCGGAAGCCTGGGGTTTGTTTATACAGCCTCCAAGGCAAAGAGGTTTAGATTAGCCAAGGAGGAAAAGGTGTGTAGGAAACAGCAGATGAAGAAGGATATAATGGAAAAGAGAGGAGGCCGACGATAAGAACCAGAGGAGATGAGGGACTGGGGAGACTCTGAGACGATGAAGCAGCTGCAGTTTTAAAATCCACCTGAATTCCCACATACAAACAAGCAACCAGACAGCAGGAACAAAAAAACTCACAGAAAACATTTACTGTTAAACAAGGTAACAAGCCTTGGCTGGTGTGAAGTGAGTGCCGGCCTGCAAACCGAAAGGTTGCTGGTTCTATTCCCAGTCACGGCATGTGACTGGGTTGCGGGCCAGGTCCCGAGTTGGGAGTGTGAGAGAGGTGACCTCTTGATGTATCTCTAGCACATCAAGGTTTCCCTCCCTCTTTTTCTCCCTCCTTTTCCCCCTCTCTAAAAATAAATAAATAAAATCTTTAAAAAACAACAACAAGGTAACAAGGTATCCCCACAAACCCCAATCAGCCACAAACTGGTGCTACCAGCATCTGTGGGGAAAGTATTAGAGAATGAGGGGTTCAATCTAAGAACAGCGACAGCTGGGAAAGGTCTGGCCCACTTTACTAGGGGCCCCGAAGGGGCTCTGAGGGGGCCAGGGTGGTCTGGTACTCATAAACTCTCAAAGCTGAGTCCTGGGCTTCGTACCAGAACAGTATCCTACGAGGAGAATGGAATCTAAACTGAACCAGAACAAAGATGAGATAAAGAAAAAGACGGTTTTGATAAAGTTGGTGAGGCGCCCAGAGTGCGAAAATTTCAGGCAGCCAAGGGCCACGTTGTTGAGCACTACACCAAAACGACACCAGAGGGAGCTCAGGAAAGTGGGAAAGGCCACCCTGAACCACACACTTCATTCTGAAAGTCAGAAAAGGGACAGAGGCGGGAGCGGGATAGACAGCAAGGAAGGAAGGAGTGGGCTTTGGCTTGGGTGGAACTCTGAAGTCCATGGCCCTGGCCCCCCAGTCTGGCTGGCTGTCACGCCCTGGCTCACCTGGTCACTTGCTGTGAGGCAAGACAAGTAAGGCAGAATCTCCAGAACATGAATATGGTAAAAATTGTGGAAATGGTGGCGGATGTACTCGTAAGTCTTGTCCTCGGCAACCGTCATCACTGTTCACGTTCTGGGGTGACAGAGGGCTCTGGCAGGTGGAAGGTCTGTGTGCGCTCCAAGCCGCTGAGAGCAAGAGGGCTCCACCTAGAGGCGCGGTTCCTTTGAGGTATACTGGGAAAACAAGAAGCAGCAGCCCAACATGAAAATCATGGGATCCATCCCACTCGAAAGGTAAAGAAAATAAAGTACTAAGAAAAGAAGGGGGTTTGTTAGTTAGTGGAAGAGCAGAGAACTGCAGTCTTCGGGATCAGGCTCTTTCCAAGGCATTACTGCAGCTTCACCATTTAAAGCTTGCTACATACATGTGCTTAGGATAGGAGGCTGAGTTCCTCTGCCCTGAACTCACTGGGGCAAGTAACCAGTCTTATCCTCACCCCTGAAATTGTTCAGAGAGCTTGTGCTGACATACAGTTATGCCTTATAAGCTTGAAATTTATAAGTGCCTCAAATACAAGCAATTACTGTCAGTTGCTTATGTAGCACTTACCACAATTCATTTGTTTCTTATTTGCTTCACCCCTGGGAAGAGCTGCAGGGAATGAGACAAGATCTCTGTCTTCATCCAATTTATATTCTATTTTGTGGGGCAGATAGCAAAGCAGTAAACATATACATAAAGAGGAATCCTGGATAGTAATAAAGGTTACAAAGAAAATAAAGCAGGACAATGGGAAAGAGCCCATGCAGAAGGGCACACTGGTTGGACTGGGAGAGTCAGAGAAGCCTTTTGGAATTGGCCACATTTGAGCTGAGCCATTCTTGCCTGTGAGATTGGTGTTTCCGGCAGAGGGCACAGCAAGTAGGAAGTCCTAAGGTGGGAACAAGTTTGACATGTTTAAAGAATAGAAAGCAAGTCCAGGTGGGCCAAGTTTAGGAAGCTAGGGGGAAAGGCATAGATCAAGGTCAAGGAGGTTGGAAGGGACTCACATGTCATGTTATAGGAAAGGATGTTGAGTTTTATTTGGAGGGAAACAGGGAGCCCATGGAGGATTTGGAGCACGGAAGGGAGAGGACTTGTGTCAAAGACTTTTCTGACAGTTGTGAGGACCTTGGATTGTGGAGGGGCCTGGATGGACAAGTCAGGAGGCCACTGCAGGGGGCAAATACATGATGGGTATGGCTGTAATGGAGGTAGCAAGAGATGGCTGGATTCCTGGTGTTTTGTGGACTTGGGAGGTGAGGAAAAGAGAAGAATCAAGGATGACTCCTTGGGTGCAGGGTGGATGGATGGTGCCATTTAGTCAGCCAGGGAATTCAGGGGGAGGAGTAATGTCCGGAGGCTCCAGAGCTCCATTCTGAACAAGTGAAGCTTGAGATGCTATTGGATGTCCAAATGGGCTTTCAGGGAGGGAAGGGGCAAAGGAGAAGGCCAGGCTGGAGTGGAGACGTGGGTGGCAGGCCTGAGTGAGACCTCTAGAAGACAGTGCTTCAGAGCACAGAGTGCCCCAAAGCTGCTGAGCTCACCAGTTCCTCATCACATGGGAACAGGGCCGCACACTGCACGACTTGTTTTGCCAACCAACCGGGTGCTACATTCCTGATGGGGCAAGTGCTCGTGACAGAGGTCAAGAGGATCAGGGAGGTGGGGCAGGGGTCCTTGGAAGCTTCAGGAGATGAGCAAAGAACAACTCTGGTACCTGATAGACCCATTTCTCCTTCCCTCCCATGACATCCAGGAAGATACCAGATGAAAGGTGATAACATTCTTCTGCATCCCGGCCTCAGCCCTGAAGACTCAGAGTTTGGGGGGTAGGGCTTTATGATATGCATGATCCCACCAAAAAGAAAGGAAGCCCATATTTTTCACATTTATTGAGGATCCACTATAGGCAGGCACATCCTAAATTTCTTCCATTTAATCCTTGCCACAATCCCATAAGAGCAGAAGTGATGCCAAGTTGCACAGCTGACCGGGGGCCCTGACAGGGTTTGAACCTAGGACTGACTTCTGCTGCGCTGCAGCTCACCATAGGCTTTGCAGCAGCCAGCTAGACTCACAGCCCAGTGCCTTTAAGCTCAGGGAGGGGCCAAGGTCACTGCTTGAGCTGGGACTGCGGGGGAAGGGGACGTGGTTGCTGCGTGTTGGTGCGTGAGGCTGTGCCTTGGAGGACATAACATTTAGTCCCTTCTCTGGTGAGAAACGGCAGTCTTTCAGAAAAGGCCAAGGAACTTCTAACCATGCCCTCCATGGCATCAGGTCGCTGACTCCCCTCCCTGGTGTTTTCGAGTCTGCACAACATCTGTACTGAGGACGTCGTTCTGCGTTTGTTTTTCTCCCAATGTTTCCCAGGCTCCTCTTGACGTCTCAGAGAACTTGGGCGGCGGAGTGGGCTGGTTGCCCTGAGGTTCCGGACGCGCTGAAGAAAGAAATATCCTTCCGCACGAGAGAGGCCAGGCCTTGCCGCCTCGGCTTAGATTCCCGGTTTTCTGGGTTGGACCCAGGACCCCGGAGGGAGGGAGGCCGCTCCTCCGAGTAGCTGTCACAGCCGAAAACTGTCAAGATCTAGAGAATGGCGGCACCCCTCGACCGCCAGGCGCTGCCGCAGCAGCCTGAGGTTGGTGCCCCCGGAGTAGGCCGCGCCCCGGGGTCTCGCTGGGCCTGCGGGAGGAGCTCTGCCGCCAGAGCCATCTCCTTCCGGCCTCATCTTCGCCACAGCCCCAGCAGACGTCCCGCGCACCCACCTCCGCCTCCCACCCCAGGCTGGATGCCGTGCGTGTAGCCCTCGCTGCCTCGAGCCCCACGCGCCCTGTGTCCTCCCCCGCCCCCCTTCGTGCCCCCATCCCGTGCGCCCCGGCGGACTCCGAGTCCCACTTGGCTCCTGCCTCCGCGCGCCTCCTCCACGAAAGGCGTCCGTGCGCCCTGGGCTCGAAAGGACTGAGTGCGCGGGACGGCGATCTTACCTCGGGTAGCCGCGACCCGGCGACCTGCGGACAGCCAGCGACCGCCTCCTACAACCCGAAACCCTCCCTGCGAGGAGGGAGGGGCAGGGCCAAGGCTGCGGAGCCACTGGCCAGGTGGCAGGGGCGGGACTTCGCGGCTGGCGGGGCAGCTGGACAGCCGGGGTGGGCACTTGGCCTAGGACTGGGGGGCTGGATGCGCTGGACCTGCGCTCCGGACCGACCTAAGTTCTTGCTGGGACCCAAAGGAGATTTTTTGCCTTGTTCCTTTCAAACAACGTTCAGGGGAAGTCCAGGGTCTGGCTGGAAGCCAAGTGGGCGGCAGACCTCAAAGTCTGTGGCCAGCTCGGCTCCCACGCTTCCTTCGCGAAGCGACCCCTGGTCTCGCAAAGTAATTTAAGGGGTGAGGGGCTTTCTGTCGTCCGCTCTTGGGCGCCCAGAGCCTGGCACACAGTGCTCTATAAACGTCGGTGACTCGCAAAGTTTACCTGGCGCAAACAGCCTGCCATGGGCGCATGCTGGGCCAGAGGAAGCCGGATCTGGATGCAGGGCATGAGCGCCGAGGTTGGCTCGTCTGCACCCTAAGTGCGGGCCTTGAGTGCTGTATCGGAAAGGTTTCCCCTCCCCCGCGGGTGCCTCCCCTCGGTGCTTGCCAACTAACTGCCTTGTCCTTCCTCTGACGGGGCAGAGAACAGGTGCTGGGGCCAAAGCCAGCATTATTGAGCGCCTATTGTGTTCCAGACACAGACTTAAAGTCCCTATCTTAAGGCCATTAAATCTCTCACAATAACGAGGTAGAGGCCTATTTTTTTTTTCTGACTTAAAGGGAGATTGAAGGTTTTGGGGAAATGTCTGGCAGTTCTTCCTAAGGTTTAAACATACACCAGCTCAGCAACCACTCCCAGGTGTGCATCCACCTAGAACAACGATTGTCAGCCTTTTCATATAATGGGACACATAAACTAATTACGAAAGTTCTGCAGCACACCAAAAGATATGTATTTTTTGTTGATCTGACAAAAATAGGTATAATTTTTTAAATGATATTTATTTGTTTGTTTATTTCTTTTTAGAGAGAGGGAAAGGGAGGGAGGAAGACAGGGAGAGAAACTTTGATGTGAGAGAGAAACTTCCAGGGGTTGCCTCTCCTGTGCAACCCAACTGAGGACTGAACCCTTAACCCAGACATGTGCCCTGACAGGGGAATGAAACCCGCAGCCCGTCGCTTTGCTGGACAACGCCCAACCAACTGAGCCATACAGATCAGGGCAATAATTTTGATTCATACCACACAGCTATTGTTGTGTTGGCCGTTATCTTTTTTTTTATTTGACCATCTAAGAGAAAAGATGTCAGTTCTGCTGACTAAGGAGTCAGATATTGCATGTTTTAAAAATTCATGCAGCAGCCATGGCTGGTATGGCTCAGTGGATTGAGTGCCAGCCTGCAAACCAAAGCGTTACAGGTTCAATTCCCCGTCAGGGCACGTGCTTCGGTTGAGGGCCAGGTCCCCAATGCAGGGTATGCGAGAGGCAACCACATATTGATGTTTCTCCCTCCCTTCCCCTCTCCAAAATAAATGAAAAATTTTCTTAAAAACTCTTATTAAAATTCTTTTTAAAAAATTCTTGCAGCACACTGCTTGAAAATCACTGACCTAGAAACATGCACAATAGATAATGTTCATAGCAGCCTTATTTGCAATAGGCGAATTCTAAAAGCAGCACAAAGGTCTATCAGCAGGAGAATGGAGACACAAACTCTGGTGTGCTCACATCATGGAATAGTATACAACAATGAAAAACAAACTATTGATACACACAACATGGCTATCACAGGATGAATGGGCACCATGGCTAACCAAGTCAAGCAAAGAGAATAGGTACATGCTGTCTGTTCCCAATCACAAGGTAAGGCTCAAAAACAGACAAAACTCATCTACATAAATAGAAATTAAATAACTTGTTACCTCAGGGGATGTTGAGGGATGGGTACAAGGGAGCCTTCTGTGGGGATGGACATAATTTGTGTATTGATGTGAGTTTTGGGAACATTGGCTTGTGTCTATGTAAAAATGCATCAGCTGTGCACTTAAGATTGTTACACTTTATACTGCAACTTAAAAAAGACAGCCCTGATCGATGTAACTCAGTGAATTGGGCATCCTCCTGTGAACCAAAAGCTGGCCAGTTCGATTCTGGGTCAGGGCACATGCCTGGGTTGTGGGCCAGGTCCCCAGTTGGGGGTGTGCAAGAGGCAACCAATCAATGTTTCTCTCATACATCAATGTTTTTCTCCCTCCCTTCCCCTCTCTCTAAAAATAAATAAATAAAATCATAAAAAAAAAACAAAAAACAGATACCTGAGGATTAAAAGGTTTGGCCAAGATCATGTGCAAATGCCTGAATACATACCTGTCTTCAAAGCCAGTACTCCCAAACAATCATAGGAAGATGCCCGAACACTTTTCAGATGACATTTTATCTCTTTACAATGTAATGTTGTTGCTATTTCCCAACATTCAGCATTTACAAAATGTTAATATCACACCTGTACTCAACTGTAATAAAGTCAGCTATGCCTTGTTTAGTTTAGCCAAGACGGGGAATGTGGAAAGGTTCATAAATTACTCCTGCCTGCTACCCACCCCAAATCCAGTGACTTCATCTCTAATTCTTGCAGGAAGAGCATTGAGAATGTGGTGACTTGCTTTCAAATGCAGTTGTCACCTGGTTTTGCTGGATCTCACAGGGCATTAAAATATATGTTATACACACACACACACACACACACACACACACACACTGTGAGATAGTATCTTAGTCCATTCGGGATACTGTAAAATACCATAGACTGGGTGGCTTAAACCACAAGTTTATTTCTCAGTTCTGGAGGTTGGGCAGTCTAGGGTCAAGGGGCTGGCAGATTCGGTGTCTGGTAGAAAGTTCGATTCTCCATCATAGACACAGTCTTCTCACTGCATCCTCACATGGTGGAAGGAGTGCAGGAGCTCTCTGGGGTCTTCTTTAAGAGAGCACTGATTCTGTTCCTGAAACCTTCACCCTTATGAGCTAGTTAAGCAGCCCCCAAGGACCCCACCTGCAAACACCATCACACTGGGGGTTAGGTTTCCATATATGAATGTGAGTGGGTGGACATAAGCATTCAGTCTATGGCAGATATCAACCACAAAGATGGCTGTTATTAAAAGAATAGAAAATGGCAAGTGTTTGGGTCAAATACAACTGGCTACTTCTGTTATCTTTTACTGCTGGTTGCGTCCCACCCTTTTTCCTGAGTAGAATTCACTGATTATTGTCCATTTACTAGTGGAAGGGTGAGTCCGGAGAGTGATCCATACGCCAGGCTGCTCCCCCAGTGACAGCCTCGGAGCCCACCCCCCAGGAAAGCCCGCCCCCAGGCAGGTGGCCTGTGTCTGCAGGCCAGTGTTCCAAGGAAGGCTGTGGCTTATACAGCTCACATTTCCCCCAGAGGGCAAAGTCAGGCCCAAAGATAGTGCCAGAGGGCCCCAAAAAGGGGCATGTTCTCATGTCTGAGTCCCTTCAGGGAATTCGTCAGAACTGAAAAACAAAATATAATCCCTGCCTTACAACCTCGTTTCAAGTTAAGTTTCCTAACTCTTACTCTTTAAACTACTTTATATTTCCATACTGTCAGTTTTATTATTATAAGAAAATTAACATATGCTCAATAAAGCTGGGAGAAAATTAGTATATGTCCATATATTCATATAAGGGAAAACACATGTCTGATAAAGAAAATCAAAATCCGGACTCATAATGTCACCACCCAGGAGAAAGTGCTAGTGATACCCTAGTGTCTTTTCTTCTAGTGTTTTCTTTTCCTCTGGCTTCCTGCAGTCCCCCTTACCTTAACTAGCCACATGAGCTGGTTCAAGTCACCATCTAGGATATGACGGGGTCTCTGGAATATCCTTTACCTCTCCGGTGTCTCAGGAGAATGAGGGGGCTTGGGCTGTGTCAGCTCAAGGATCAGTCGCTGCTGCATCCAACTTCTCCAGAGCTGTCCTGCTCCTGTGGCCAGTGTGGCCTCCTAATCAGCCTCAGGACATTGTGTTGCTGGTCACCTGCCACTCAGGGGCTGCCATCCTACTACTCATTCCTGAGAACATTGACATAAGTTCCTTGCCGACGGACATGCACATGGGGGTTGGTGGGAAACGGAAGTGAGTGCATGGGCGAAACATGCCCCCGAAGTTAAAGCATCAGAGTTCCTAGAATTCACAGACCTCCTCCAGTGCAGACTTTTCCCAGCCACGCCCTTCCAGGGCCCCAGCTTTCCACCACACTGCTGGTGCCCTTTGCTTTCAGCCCTTCCTGCTGTCTGTTGTCCTAGGCCCCTCCCCCAGGATCTGGAGCTCAGAGCACAAACCCAAATCACTGGAGGTAGTTTGTGCATGAAAGGCTTTTGTTTCTTTTTATTTTTTCAAACTGTAAGAGAAAGTTTATTTGGAAAGTTTCAGAGGTAGTAGAAGCAAGCCCGCTGGGTTGTGTAGGCTCAGGAAATAGGTTACAGAGGCAGAAGGGCCCTTGAAGCTGAGGAGACAGAAAGTCAAAGGCAACACACCTGCCCCGGCCAGGTGGTTCGGTTGGTTGGAGCATCGTGCTGCACATTAAAAAGTTTAGGGTTTGATCGGTTAGGGTGCATACAGGAGGCGACAAATGGATGTTTCTCTCACATCAATGTTTCTTTCCCTTTCTCTCTCTCTCCATCAATAAAAAAGTTCTCAGATGAGGATTTAAAAAGAAAGGTAATCCGTCTGATGAGGAAGAGGTGGAAGGGAAAGGGGAAAGGCATGAGAGGGAGAACAGAGGGATAGCATGACAGGGAAATCTATCCATCTTAACTGTGCAACTTGATATTTATCCAAAGAAATACTTGTGTGACCAGCACCTACATCAAGATCTGGAATGTTTCCATCTCCCAGGAAAGTTCCCTTGTAATCCTTGTTTGTCTATCTCCACCCCCAATCATTACTCTGATTTCATCACCATGGTTTGGTTTTGCCTGTTCTTGAATGTAATACAAATGGAATCAGATAATGCAGACTCTTTTGTGTCTGGCATCTTTCCCTCAACATGTTTTTGACATCTATATATGTCATTGCAGGTATCAGGAATTGTTCTTTCATTGTTGAGTAGCAGTCCATTATATGAATGTATCACAATTTGCTTACTCATTCTATATTTTAATGGAATATTTGGGCTTTTCCAGGTTTGGGCTATTAGGAATGAGTGCTACCAACATTCACATATATGTCTTTTGTGGAGTTATTTTAAAAGTGCTGCACAATAGGGTAGGGCATGTTTAGCTTTGTTAGAAGCTTCCAAACATTTCTGCAGAGTGGCTGTGCCACTTTACCCTTCCACCAGCAGTATATGGATGGTTCCAGGCGCTACAGTCCAGTTTTCTTCGCCAACACTTGACATGGTCCGCATTTTCACAGGAAGAAGTTTTTTTAATACTTACCGGAAGATATGTTTGTTAATTTTAGAGACAGAGGAAGGGTGTAAGAGAAGAGAGAGAGAAACATCAATAGATTGCCTCCTATACATGCCCCAACCCACAACCTAGGTGCCCTGACTGGGAATCCAACCCACAACTTTTTGGTGTATGGGATGATGCTCCAACCAACTGAGCAACCTGGCCTTCCTTCACAGGAAGTTGATACAGAAAATTAGTTGGTTGTAAAATTGTGAGGGGGGCTGGAGGAGCTGGAGTCAGCAGACTGCCACACA